GCAGAACACCTAGTACATGATGCTGTGGCCCTCAGTGTAGGTAAAGGAAACTTGGTTACCACCAAACCCTGGTTCTTAACTCTAACAGTTTATCATGGTCACTTTGGCAGTTTTTCAAAATATGGATGCCTGGGACCCATGCCCTAGGAATTTCATTCAGTTGGACCGGGGCCATTTTTGCCACTTGATTTTTAAATACTCCCAAGGTGATTCTGCTGTGCTGACGGAGTTGGGATCTGTTGTAACAACAGTAGCAACTATTACTGAGCATAAAATAACTCATTAAATCAGCTGTGAGATAGATGCTATTCTATGCCCAATTCACAAATGAGGAAACTCAGCACATAAAAGTTAAATAAATTGCCCAAGGTCACATAGCTGGTCAGTGGGAGAGCCAGGGTTAGAACCCAGGACGTCCTATTCCAAAGCTTTGCTGAAACAGGATTAAAAGCTTGGTGCTTTTTTATTTTCTTTGAAAATAACATGCAATTAAATTAACCAGCTTTTCCCAAAAGATACAATGATCTTTTTTTAATCTGTAAACTTAGTAGTCACAGAATTTCAAGAAAAGATTTCTGCTGGAAATGTTAAATTACAGGAAAAAAAACATTTATTTTTAAATTATTTTCTTTTGCTTCCTGAACCAGCCCAGTGTGCTTTCTCAGGCTTGTTTTCTTTCTACTGCTACCAGAGGAAGAAAAGAAAGATGATGTCATTTGATTTTTTTTTCCCCCTGCTGAGCCAATGAAAGAGTAAAATAAAATAAATTTCTGATTCAGGAATTCCTTTAGCGACCCTTAAAAATAACCCATTTTTTAAATTATATATGTGATGTCTGTTAATAACAGAAACATTTGAAATTGCTTATAAAGAAAAACGATAAAGTAAAAATTAAAAATCATCCATACTCTTGCCATTAAAAGGTGACAGTATTAATATTTTTCCAGAGGTCTTCTTTTGGTGCTGGTTTGAAGTCCTTATTTCAGTAGGAATAAAAACTAGACACATTAATATGGTTTATGATGTTTGTTTATTTAAGGTTTTGTATTACCCACTAATAGAAGAAGTCCATCAACGTTTGATCAGTTCTAACTCTTTCTTTTGGTCCCCAGTTGTGTGAATACTGAGACTTTCTTTGTGAGGTACAGGCCTGTGGCTAGGGTTCCTGGTGGCCATTTTAATTGCATGTGACAACCAGATGTCCTGGGAAACTTGCCACTGTTAAGGGGAAAGGGAGCTGATAGAGACAATGAAAGACTTCAGTGATGTGTATCTGGGTAGCCAATTTCAAAGCTTTTAAATAAAATCTCTTAATATGAGAAAGTACTTTTAAAATTTTGAGAACTTTACATTTTTAAGAATGT